GGACGCGCGCACGCGGCAGCGCTGGGTGGAGGGCGGAGGCCGATTTGGGCAAAGGAGAGATGGCCGACTGCCATTTCAGCCGAGATGGTTCCATTTAGTTCCATTTGGCTGCTTCACCAGCTAAAAAGTTAGTCTCAGGATTTGGCGGGGGGGGGAGCTTTGGGGGGGGGGGGATAGCACTCCTATGAGTATTGCCTTGGCTGGTCCAAAGATATCCGGCTTACAGGCACTTGTCTTGAGGTCGGCCCTTGTCACCCTAAATTGCCAACCGAGGCTTGGGCATTGGTTGCAGCAACCAGACTCTAGTTTTGCTTGCGCTCGGCGGGAATGAGACATGGAATGAATGACCCCTGTAAACCATCCAACTGTCAAAAAAGCCCAACACCCGGACTCGGACTCGATCATTCCCTAGCTGCTTAGCCATCGCAGCGGGCGTATGGCGTATGCAGGCATCGACGTGCTACTGGGGGCTCTGAGCACGGAGAAGGGCGTGAACCGAGAGCTGGTTGATGCCAAGCTCGCCACTTGGATAGGGAGCATTATGCGATCCAACTATCCAACTCGCCACATGTCCCGTGGCCACAGGAAAAGGCTGCAGTCTTAGCGTTGGACGAATGATAGAACCCCCCAGACAAATAAAGTCCTGGTTGATGAATTGGGGAGATGTCCCTTTAAGTGGGCAGTCATCACTTTCATGATCATGGCTCATATGGATATGAGATTGCATGGATCAATCTCCATGGAAGCTATGCAGCTAATCTGCAGGAGCTCGAAACTATGCAGCTAATCCGTCTTCGCCTCTTCAGATTCCACATGCTGTTCATGAAGCATCCCTTGAAGGGCCCCGGCAAACGGAGAATACTATGATCCGGTGCCCGATCTCCGAAGGCAAGAATCGGTTTCGACGTCGCCACCACTCGGGCCGGCCGAGAGTGGCGCGGGTTCCATGTCGCTTTGGCTCAGCTCCGCCAGCATCCGCTTCCCCAGGCCCTCAAATTGGACCCACCGCTGCACGTGGACCGCAATCCCAGGGAAGAACCTTGGGACTGGAGCCGGGGGTCGACCCCCGTCCTGGCTTTCCGGACCGGTCCCCTCCTTCCGTGGACTGAGAAGCAGCGGGTGCGGCTTTCCGCCCAAGATATCAGGGGCCTTAGGCCCCTTGATTGCCACCTTTCGTATCGCACTTGGTTACAGGCTTGTCAGGAACAAGATTGCTCAGTTCCACGCAACAGCGGAGTTATGCATCAATGAATACTATTGTGGGTTGCCTAGGTTAGATACCTTTTTTACAACCTCAAAACTGGTTGGTGTCTTGTGGTTTTTCACTAAGAACCGTCTAAACGGCGTTTCTAGTAGGCGTGGCGAAAACATCCTTTGGAGCTGTAGGCGTGGTGACATTTCATCCTTTGGAGTTGTGGGTGTGGTGAAAACATCCTGTGGAGTTGTAGCAATGGTCATGGACTTAGGAACCTATGGGAAATCCAGACTCCAAGCCAGCCATAATGATTCCTAGGGAGCCATCATCACCCCACATGGAACGATGGGCTCCGCGGATCGAAGGTGGCAGTACTGGCCATCATGGCGGCTCACAACAAGGACGTCCGTGACGAGGTCTTCGCGCCTTGGAGCAAGCCAGCCGCAGAAACCGAGTCTGGCTGTTGGTTGGAAAGGGATCCAAGGAGTTGGAGAAATCCCAAGTTGCTTTTAAACAGGGAGCTAAGGAGCCACCAGGTCTGCAAGGACCTGGTAGTTGAATTGTTTGGGGCTCAACTAAGGTAAGGTTGACTCCATTTTTGTTCAAGCCCAGCTTACAAATAGCGGGGGCCTCCAAAAGTGGTGATTCCCCACATTTCATCCAGGGACACCCCCTACCAATAAACCGAGGTTGATTAATATCTTGATTGCTATTGGGTTGGATCTTTAGACTTCAACTCTTTGGTTGAAATCAAGGTGTTTTCCACCAACCCCCCAAGAAGTGAACGACTTTTTGCAGGGGGGTCGTTGCAGCAACCAAGATATGGGGTCGACGTTAGTTGCCGCTGGACTCCAAAGCGATGTCTTGGTATCGGCTTTTGAGCCATCGGTTTGCTGCGGCCACGTTTTGTTGGACACCTAGGTCCCGCATCCGAAAAGGGGGCCTTTCTATAGATGTCCCATGTTGTTCTTGCGCAAGTAGAACAATAGAACATCAAGTTTTTCAGGGATCTCCAGCTGGTATTCACTTGCTCTGCCCAAAGCCATGCAGAGAATCAGAAAGCCGCGGCACCTACGAATGGCTGGTTCTCCCTTTTCCTTTGTCTGCCTCAGTTTTTCAGTGGGGGGGGTCGCATGTTTAACTTTCTGAAAAGAGAAAGTGCGAATCACAGGAGGAAACAACCCCCATGAATCCCGAGGGTTGAATCCAGGGTCACCTCGCGCAAGCGAGAAAGGACCGCGTGGACTTCATGATGGAGCTGCGCTTTGCTTTGGACACAGCCCGTGAAAGTCCGCCCACCGCATTTTAGTCGAGCCGGCTGGCATGGTTCATTTTGGAGCCGGATCAGAGGTTTGTCAAACCGAGTGATACATGTTTGTGGGAATCAGCCACGAGGGATGTGTCCACCGCAACCGTGGGAACCATGGTGGTTCGTTCGTCTACAAACTGGCGTGGCGCGGGGGAAGGAGACCTATCAGTATATCAGTCCTATGACAGGAGCAAGGCCCTGCATCAACTGAACGGTGGCCTTGTCCCGATGGCAGTCTGGGAAGGGGCGTGAATGTTTGGCGCATGCGGACGGGAAGTCCCGAGAGCCTACCAAAAAGAACGGCCATGGCTATGGGGGGGGGGGGTGAGTTTTGAAAAGAACAATGTAGGTCACGCCCATAGCGACATGTCAGTACTAGTGTGGCCCCTCAACGATCCTTCTGTCCAGACTGATCGCTGGCTGGACGACCAGAAGTGCAGTTCGCAGAGACCGCGGGAATTGCCATCTCCTTGCGGGGGCGGACTGTCGGGGGGGGCACGCTGCGAATCCGAAGATGGCACGAGGCCGCCAGAGTCTCCTCATGAAGACACTCCTTTCGCACCACTTAAGAAACCATGGAATGATTCGATCCCCCTGGAGATACCAACAAACAGTGCTTTCACATGGTTTTTAGGTGGTGCCGGATTTCGTCCATCCATAGTATTATACCTTTGTAACCAAGCAGACATTCGCGGAATTCGAAAGGAGACAGGTCCGGTACTCAAAGAATTCTTTCCGCATGTTGCAGCCCAATGTCGAGCGGGGAAAAACCAGGGTGTCCAGGTCCTCCCCGCCCAGGGGAAAATGGGCATACAGCCACTATCTACCAGCACGGAGGGGCATTTACTCCCCTTCGTTGCCTGGAACATGATCTAAGGGATCAAACGCTGGGTAGAGTAGGAACAGTGTTTCTGGTGATTCTCATGGTTTTGGGTGGGCCATTTTACGCCCTCCATGAGTCATGAGCGCTAGATTTTGTCCTTTGTTGCAGTCCGTCCCCTTGTTTGAGCTGACTGAACACCAGCTGGTTGGGCTCCTGTTGGTGCTTTGCTGTTGGAAAAAATCTAGCTGGGACCTGTGGCTGGTTTGCTTCCTTTGTCCTTCTCTATGTCTCACCTCGGCTTGCTTCCTTTGCCCCAGTAGTGCCCTTTTACCCTTTTCCGGGGCAGGCTTCCCCTACTAAAATAGACTACAGAAAAAAAGGGTACCCTGCTTCTAACCTCTCTACTGGAGGACCTAGTTGCTGTTCGTCTTGGTAATCTCACTTGGTCAAATGCCATGTGATTTTCCCGGGTGAGGTGAACTTGCTTCGCCAGGCGTGTTGGCCGCAGAAGGCCGCGAGCAGAAGCGGCAGGCGGTCGGGCGGAAATGGGCGACGCATGTTTCGCCGTGGGAGTTGTTCTGAGCTGCCTAGGGAAAAAGGCCAATGGTCCTTGCGCAGTGAACTGACAGACCCCAATTTAAGTTGGGCAAATTCATTCCAGGGGGTTGTGGCCGAACATCGATTCTCTGACCGCCAACCTCCTGGATCTGGGGAATGGGGGGGTGGGGAGGGGCAGGGGGTTGGACCGTTTTTCTGTGAACAAACAGTTCGCTTTTTTCTGGTCAGGAGCTTCTCTTCGGACGATCTTCAGAAGAACTGGGTCTATTCGGATGAATCCCAAGTTGACTACTACTGCTCCACAAATCGATGCTCTTTTTGTGGTCGTATGCTCCTCTTGAAAGACAAACGTGTTTTGGATGTCCAGTTGAGGTACATGGCCAGGAACGGCCTTGGAATGACAATTTGTTTTTATGCCACGAAAGAACCGTGGGTCCGTTTTTGCTTAAGAAGGGTACCTCTTCTTCGTGGTTTGCAAGGAAGACCAAAGGCAAACCTTGCCCCCTCATATTTTGGGGCCGAAATGCAAACAGACACACACACACAGTCAGAACTTGGCGATCGTGAGGCGCGGCGGTTGTGCAGCGGCCTCTACGAGAGCTTCGCCTGCCTTTCCATCCACGGGGAGTTTAAGGCGCAAAAAGTGGGGGGGGCGAGCTAGGTGGTCGAAACCTCGCGCAAAAATCCCCTCAACACTGCACGCACACGCACATGCAGGCGGGTGTGTGTACGCGCGGATCTCGCAAAGTGGAAAGCGGGCCAGTACTCGGCGGCAGGTTCCGATTGGGTGAATTTGGCAACATGGTGACACGCCATGTTGCCAAAGATCTGAAGTGGAAACAGGGCCGGTAGATTCGGGCAGGTCCCCTGTTGGGATATCTCGGCGAGTTGCCAGGGACCTTCAGGTGAAGTGTGCTGTTTTCTGTTCCGCCGATTTGTTGCCGGAGAAGCCCAAAACCAATGAGGACTTAAGGACTTCTAGCCTTTTGTTTGACATCAAGGACCAACACGTTTGGCGGCCTGAAGCTTTTCGGGGAAGATTCGGACCGGATCAGGAGCTGCTGGGGAATTCCAAGAAGACCCTGGAGGCATTGCAGGCGCTTGCCCTGGAGGAGGACGGTTTCTACATCTGCAGTTCTCGGAGCCATTTGAGCCACAATCAAAACCGATTCGGGTAGATGAAGGTTAATAAGGGACAATCCCAGCCATGAATGGTGTTGCGGCCGCCTTCTTAATTCTTTACATGGTTCTGGGTTCACCATTTTAATACCGGGTTTTGATTATGACTCATTTGGAGAACGGCCAATGGGTCGTCTCTTGCATCCTGGTAATTATACCCTCCCACCCTTTTCACGAACCTGACGTGCGGGACCGGTCCCTAAACAGACGATGGCCCAAACCAGGAACGATTCCCCAGGTCCATGTTAATTGGTGGGAGGGGTGGACCAGTGGGCTTTGTGCGTTGTAAGACACTCTGTGTCCAGGTGCTAACTGTCGGACAGATGAATGTCTTTGCATGGTGATTTCGAGAACCTTCAACTGTATTGCTACTCGGAGACCTAGCTTGATTTGGCGCAGTGGAGAATAGGAGCAGGGCCGAAGGAGGAACCGCCAAAGAAAGAGGGATTTGTGAGCTCGCCGTTGGTGCAACGCAACTGTGGATAAACATGGCACCCCGACTCAAAGGCGGATTGTAGTACACGAGTCAGGGTCAAACTATGCGGTTACCCTAAAAGAGATGGGAGAATCAGTAATTCCTTGAGTTTTCAGCAAGTCTCCCAGTGTCCTTTTGAACCTGCTATGAATTTATGTATCGAAGCTCATGTTTCCGTGCATAGTCATCATTGTTCTTGTCCCAACTAGCTTTTAGCGTGGGCACTCAGCTTGGTGGTTTGGTGGTTAAGGAGTGGCGTCCCATTTACCCTCAACAAGAAGCATGGGGTTCAAATCTTAATCCAAACCGCTAATTCGTGGGAAGCAAGAAAACATGCGGTGCCAGGCGCGCCCTTAGGCTCAGGCTCCTGCACTCAGGTAGAACTCAGGTCGCAAGCCCACCTCGGTCCCTTCCAATTGGTGGCTTGGATTGGTGGCTTGCAGGGGACAAATTTTATATTCCAAGCCGAAACGTCCTTGGGTAACCCTCAGTTGGCAGTTGGGATTGAGGAAACCCCTGACTTTCAAACCAAGGTCCCCCAGTAGTGCCCTTTACCCTTTTTTGGTTGGGAGAGTTCCCCTACTAAAACAGAAAACAGAAAAACAAATTGGGTACCAACTGATTTCCACCTCTCAACTCTGGAGGACCAAGAAACTAACCCAAGCGAGCGAAGGCTCCGCGCCCAAAGTTTGGCGCCGAAAAAATCCCATGGCACCGAAGCTGCAGCGCCTGGAGACCCGGCGGGTGGAAGAGGACGCCAGGAGCAGCGCCAGCCGCAAGCTCTGGAGGCGCCTTGTGCTCGCGGCTCGCGGCTCGCGGGTTCGGGTTTGGGGTGCGGTTTGCTGGGCTTGGTTGCTAGGGGTTTCGTTTTTGTTTTTTTTGTGGGTTTTCCATTGAACCCGAAAACAGGTTACGGTTGCTGCTGCGGTTTCTTGGACTTTGACTTGAAGTTTTTCGGGAATTCCATGGAGTTTTCCATTGCACCCACAGCAAGTTGTTCACTCTTCGCAGAGGGAGCGGTACAGCACCCATGCGGGTCAAGTCTTGATCCAACAGTGGGGTATACAACTCACGTCGGAGTGGGTCCCTGACCCTTTGGACATCATGGTGGGGATTCATGTCCACCAACCACTGAGGTTGTACCCTATAAACAAAAATATAGCGCCATGTGTTCTGATGTGGCTGTGGGTCAAAAATAAGTACCCAAAATGGAACCCTGGTAGGTGGAATGGACCAGAAACTGCGGTCCCCGGTTGGTTTAATTTTGACCCACACCCATGTTGCTTCAGGATGTGTCAACCTTGTGTAAACAAGTCTTGGAGGCACAAGAAGTCAGGGGGGTATAGAGGAACGAGAGGAACCCGGCCGAGCCGATTCGACGAAGGCCTCACCCAAGGCCGGGGGGTTCCAGCCTTCTTCCCTTGTTTGAGTCAACTCCGCTCAGCGGATTTCCAAGAGCCGTTCAGTTCCCTTGTTTTTTTCTACTAGGCTAGGTTCCCCCATATTGGGCTGTCGTCTTGTTCAGCTTGTTTGCCTGAACCAGGGATGGTCATGTATGCCCTAGTAGTTTCTGTCACCCCATGTAAAGGTTCCTGATAGAAACAGTTACCCGGCCCACAGGAATTTTGACAGCAGATACGGCAGGTCGTGTCAGAACATGACTTGAGACCCAACGCGGCGGTTTTTCCTTTCATTTCCCTTTAATTGAACCTAAACGTGTACCAAGCCTCCGCAGGCATACGTGGCAGGAAGTCGGAGTCCCCAAGTTAAATATGGTGTGTGTGTGTTGTTGTTTGCGGGTGTTTCGCCATTTTAAAGAGGAACCAACAGGGAACTCTTGTTTATTGTGGGACACATCCGCGAGACATTCCCGCATGTTTGCTGCTTGCGATGCAAGCAGTTGCAGCCTGCCAGGCAGCTGCACGAAGACTTCAGCAGCTGGGCGGAGGTGCACAAGCCGGAGCTCTCCTTGGATGAGCGGCTCGAAGAAAGACGTGTCTTTGTTTGCCAGACGCAACAAGCCATTGCCAGATTATAGTCTAGATCCCCCAGCTAGGTGCCCTTTTACCATTTCTTGTTTGGGGGAGATTTCCCCTACTTAAAAAAAGAAAAAAGAAAACGGGTACCCTTATTCTAACCTCTCTACTGGAGAACCTAGTAGGGGCATTTGTGCCACTGAGCAAAGTTTTAGCCATGAAGCCGTTGCCCCTTTCTTTGCCTTGCAAACCACTTGGGCGTGTCTTATAGGGAGAGCCCCAAAATGGTTGGTTTCCTTGTGGTGTCCCTGTAAATCAACCTCCCAAAAGGGTACCCTGGAAAAAAGTCATCCCCACTTTAGTTGCAGGCTCGGATCAAGTTAGCCCTTCTCGGCTGCATGGAAGTCGCCCAAAGTTTCTTGGCTCTTGGCCCGCAGGACCTGTGTTCATCTCGAAGGCCCTGGATCCGAGGCACATGAGAATACGAACCGCAAATGCCAATGCTGATCAAGCATGATACTAAAGCTGATTGATCAGTTTCCATAAACTGATCAGATCAGTTTCCACAAAGCAAAAACTGATCATAAAACTGACAATGGTGTGTTTCCGTATTGTCGAGGACTGATTCAGAGCCAGTGGCACATAAGCCGTCGGAGATAGTCCTGCACGGTTCTTCTCTCCTTCACCATTTAACAAGGGCAACCTTTGCATAGCAGTTGAATGCCGTCGTGGATGTTAAGCTTCATAGATGAACCAAAATTACTGCTCAGATCCTCCCACCCAGCATGGAACCTGAATCTAGCGGGTGGGGGGGGGCTCAAAATGCTGGGTGGCTTTGTGCATCCCTCAGGGGTTCCAAACGGCGCCGTACCTTACCTTTGACATCTCCCCCCAAATCTGGAGTCTCCTCCAAACCTATCCAGCTGCAATTTTAGGGTTGACTCAATACGGCTGATTTTTTTGATTTTTCGGTTCAATCCTATCCCGCTGTATATTTGATGGTTGACTAAGTCCGACCCTGACCCTTGTTCTATGTTTTGAGTCCCCCACTCGGGCGAAGAAATGGACTTCCGTCTCTGCCTCCCAGGCAGGTGGTGGCCTACCTGCGAGGCCTCTTCTTTGCCGGCCAGGCCTGGGGATCCACGGGGGATTCACAACTCGGGGGGTGTGGGAGCCCAAATGAACAGCGGACAAGTTCCAAGCTCAGATCTCAGTCAGGGCTTGGAAGGATTTCAGGTGGATTCCTCTCCAGGGCCTCTGGACTTGATGGAATTTCAAGTGCCAAGCACTGCGATTCCCTGCTTTGAGTTGAGGCGAAGGCGGAAAGCGCCCCATCGACCGATTTTGGGGACTAGTTTCTAGGGATTGGTCATTGGTCGTGGTTGCTGGTCTGTTCCTTGGACAAGACACCTATGGGTTTAAAAACGTAGAGGTGGTACGTGTCAAAAAATTGACGCCCCCAGCATGGGCCTGTAATTGATGGAAGCTTTAAGATTGGCTTGCCCGAGACAAGTGATAGTTGGTTCCTTTCTTGCCTTGATGTTTTTCGCGGACACCCTACTCACTCAGCACAGGAGATAGTTTTTTTTGTTTTTCCAGCCCCCATCAATCGAGCGAAGCTAATTCTTCAAAGACAATCCAGACCCCTGTTAATCCCCCAGGTTTCCGCAAACAATGATCATGTGGATGGATGTGTTTTTTTTGTTTCTTCCTGACTCCCTTTTCATTCAGCACATTCTCCCTTGGGGGTCCCGTTTGTCACACAAAGCCTATTTGTGTGTGTGTGTGTGTGTTTTCAGGGCAATCTACCTTTGTTGGGGTTCCTTTCAACCAACATTTAGGCAGCTCCAGACTGGTGGTTTGGATTGGTTGGGGATTTGACTCTCTGGTTCTGGTAGAGGGGAAATGAGGAAACCACCCCCAACCACCACACCACCCCCAACCACTAAACCACCGGGCTCAAATCCAATGAGTGGGAAGCTGAACCATTGACGTTTTCCCGCCAGGACAGGAGTTTCGGCCTGGAGGTGGTGCGGGCGGTCAAGTTCCAGGCCAGGTGTTTCTTTTTGTTGTTTTCCGACCAAAATGGGTTTGTCTTTGTACGTGGGTGTGTCTTATCAGCCCCTCCTCCTCCTCCTCCTGCTTCTTCTCCTCACCATCATTGTCATTGTCAGCGTCGTTGTCGTCATCATCAGCTTCATCATCATCATCGTCGTCGTCGTCGTCATCATCGTCATCGCCATCGCCATCGCCATCGTCGTCGTCGTCGTCGTCATCATCATCATCATCATCGTCGTCGTGGCGATCGATCATAGGTGGGGCGCTTCACCTGTAGCCGCAGAGCATCGGCGGGTTCACTACTGACCCCCGCCACAACAAAACCAGAACCCCTTACACATGAGGCAGCAAAGAAGCTGCCCTGGCCGCTCCACCGTCAGATCCGCGAGGTTGCTCACGTCAAGCATGACCAGCGCAAAGTACTCCG